TGATATTTATTTTGTACAACATTTGCAACTGCTTTTTATCACTTAATTAGAAGCACCACAAAATTAAATTTTCATCTGTTATAGAGACACTGGACAGACATTTAGAAGTTGATTTTAAAATGCAAAGTATTGAACATAAAAATAAAGCTCTGTAAACACTTGCATTTTTACAACAATCAAAAGCATGATGGGAAACGACTGACTGACGACACAGCTTAATGCTCATTGGTTCAGACAACCATGATGTTGCATTCCGTTCTAAAATGATTAATTTTTTTATCTGATTTCATGTGATTATGTGTTTAAATTATGCGTGAATATTCTCAAACACTACAGTGCGATCTCTGTGTGAGATATGTGATTGTTGTCATATTTCTATAAAAATCTAAAATACATGTTTGTATTAAAGTAAAAATGAATAATACGCTTTTTGTATGGAATTAAATAGCAAGTACTTTGAGTGTCTTGTTCATCATATTTATTTTTATATAAAGGCAACAGAACTGAAATCATATAATGTTAATCAGCAGCACAGCACATGAGTGAGAATAATGCGATATCCGCCTTTGATCTCGTAGGTATCTGTTCCACTTCTAGAGGTCAGAACTGTCCGTCTTGACTGCGCTAATTTCACTCCTCCCCTCACTGCAGCTGCCTACTCTCTCCTACATTTCAGGCAAGGCCAGGCGCATCTCAAACAAGCCTATAGGCAATGGCACAAAAACGGGGTATGCAGTATGCAGTGCATTTTGCCAAAATCATTCTGTGAAATTCTTCTTTAATAAAACGTTATAAATAATCAAAAGCTTAGAGGTCAGAACTGTCCGTCTTGACTGCGCTAATTTCACTCCTCCCCTCACTGCAGCTGCCTACTCTCTCCTACATTTCAGGCAAGGCCAGGCGCATCTCAAACAAGCCTATAGGCAATGGCACAAAAACGGGGTATGCAGTATGCAGTGCATTTTGCCAAAATCATTCTGTGAAATTCTTCTTTACTAAAACGTTATAAATAATCAAAAGCTTAGTTATTAAAAATAATTAATGCAACATTTTTATTTAACGGTTTTTAGCATTTTAATTAGTTAAAAATGTATTTATTAAAAACTTAAGACGTGGAACGGCCATATCTCTTTGCGACCACAACAAGCGGGAGACTTTTTAGACGCGCACTTCAGCTTTCCCTCAGCACCTCAGCGAGTCAAGCAAGCGCAGAAAAGGTACATGTGCCAAATAAGCTTCAGTAGAACAACAGGGACCTGCGGTCTGATGAGATATTGTTATATGTCAGTAAAAAAATTCCTGTCCTGTCAGCCGTTTTACTGTGCTCACGGAGCACGCTCTTCAACTGTACGCGAATATGAGGCGCACGCTCAATTCATAAATAAACCGCACTAGGAACATAGGCCTACATCATCAGTTAAATCACGAAATTACCAAAATGGCGATTAAAACTGCAAAACTGTGCATGCATGTATGTGCATAACATTTAAGAACGTCTCTCAAATGCATGCAGTATACTGAAATATTCTGCAATTCGAGATCACAATAGGGCGCAAGATGAAAGGGTAGCACGTCCTGATTCTGCCGAGTTAGACGCGTTCCTGGGTCAACAAGGGAGATGCTTAAGGTAAAATTGATCAACCAATCAGATTACTCACGTGACATCTGCCAGCTTGAGCGCCACTTTTTGAGTTGTGCCCCTTTGACGTCTCCTTCATTTCACAGAGGTAAGTGCATTTTATTTAAAATGTGCCATTTCAAATGTGCCCATCCCTGCTCAGCATAATGTATTATTTTCAATTGCACTGATGGATTCATAACTAACGCGAACATTAGCTAAACTGCTCATATAAGGTGCAAATCACCTAACCCCTCTCCTATCGGACAGGAAGGCGCCCACGATCGTTTCGCCCCGACCCGGCGTGGTGTTTCCCCCGTGATCGCGTCGTCGGATCTTTTCGTCCGATGATTTATATCACTTTTTTCATGTATTCGTTTAGCAGACGCTTATACTAATCTTTTAAAAGAGAAGCTAAACACTTTCGCGGATTTTTTTTTTTATAATTTAATGCACAAGTAGGCCAAATGTGAGCACAGTGCAGTTAAATGTACTAAAAAATATGCTCTAATTTTTTGTTAATGTGTGAAGTACGAAAATGAAAAGAAAACAAAACCATATTTAAATGCATTAAAAAAACGTATTTTACATTCTTACATTATTTTCCTTTGTACAGAGCTTGAGTTAGGTATGACAAACGTGCTGCAATGATTTCATTTTGACAACTAATAGAACGTTAAACACTGACTGGTAACTTTTTCAGAGTTCATTGATTATATAAAATTCAGTGAAGGTTGACTAGTTATCTGCATGTCTCATCCATGAGTGGGCCTATGCAATGATGGAGAACAAGCAATGGTGGAAACACATGTTTGTGAATGGGTATTTGATTTACATTTTAGAGAAACTAAGATTGTAAACAAGGATACAAACTAGCCACTTTTCACTGAAAATTGCCGTTGTAAATTCAAAATAGGCCATCTGTGTAATTCAAGTAGATTCAATGAGTTGAAAACTCTTGCTACTTCATACTTCAATAAAAAACAATGCTGAATTTTGACAAAAAAATTGATTTTTAAATGTTATAATAGGTATTTTATAATGTCTAAATATAAATCCATTAGAAAAACGTGAAAATAACTATATTACAGAGTGGAAATGGTAAAGGATACAATAAATGATCCTCTGCCGCCATTTAGTGGTCATAGTGGGAATCATGACATTAATTTTAATGGTATTTGTTTTTTCTGTCAGGTGAAATCTTGGCGGAATAACTATTACAGAGTGGAAATGGTAAAGGAGACAATAAATGATCCTCTGCTGCCATTTAGTGGTCATAGTGGGAATCACGACATTCATTTTAATAGTATTTGTTTTTCTGCCAGGTGAAATCTTGGCAGAAATCTTCCACTTAGCATGGCAAATTTTCCATGAATTATCTCTTTACATAAAAATTAGAAAAAATGCAGATGTTCTTTAAAATAAATTTGACTATATAAAAATGTGCAAAAATATTAATAATTTTGAGGCAAATGATATATAGGCTATATATATTCAAATTACCTAACTAAAAAGTGAGCAATAGTACATGTGTTTGAAAAAAAAAAGTGTTCTATTGTCTGGGGTCTGCCATCAGGAGTTAAAGGGGATGTTATGTGACACACTTGTCTTTCTTTTTTCTTGTTTTTACTTTTCACTTTTTTCCCTATGGTATTAAAAAAGAGGGAAGGGGGTTCAAACTAGAGGTCTACACGGAGGACCCGAGGACCCGGGACCCGACCCGGGATCCGTACGGGTTCGGGGCTATATTTTAAATGGTCAGTCGGGTCCGGGTCGGGTCCCAATCTATTACTTCGGGTCCCGGGTCTGTTTAACATTGTCTGTAATACCCGAGTCGATCGGACTCGGAGAACACCCGGCCGTTATCAGAGTCAGACAGCGCTGTGCGTGTGTTGTTTTGCAACTTTCAACTTGTAAAATTAGGATGAGAAAAGTGTGAGTCGGTCATTTGAAATAAGGTGGGAAAAAAAACAAAACACGAGCGACGTCATCAGAAGCAGGGTGGGCGGAGTTAATGCACGCGCACGGTGATAAAGGATACCTTCATGAGTGATGCGAGTTATTATTGATTTTTTTTAAATAATATTATGAATGAACCGTCTTGTTGTTATATCTAAAATTTTTGCTCAGACTCGGCTCAGAGAGCACAGAGATAATAGCAAATAAGTAAAGCTAACGTCAGCAGCCATGGCACTGGACGAGCAATCGTTATTATAATCCAAATGGGCAAACAGTCTGAATTATTATGCAAATTGACTCGAGATACAAAAAAAAGTCGCATTTGTCATCCGTCACCGTGACAGCAAGTGGACTTTTGAAACTGGAATAATGAGTGGATTAGCCTACGCATTTCAATTGGCAAGAGAGGAATAACACGGATGGAACTTTCTTGGCAAGGAGGATTGTGTGCATCACAGTCAGGTACAAGGGAGAAGGCTTCTTACATTAGGTAAGACAAAAAGTTTAATTTTCGCAACTTGTTTATCGACTTGTTAA